GGAAGTGAGCAGAGCTACGTGCACCAGAGGTGCCTTCTTTTCTCTGTTTTGACAATTCGAATAAATAATCATATGAATGGAAAGGCACGCGATTGGGAGGTTTAACGAAAAGGGACTAGGTAAGCCAAAATCTGTAAATTCCATAGGCCTGGACCTCTTTCAGAGGTATATCTATTATGTTAGAAAGCTGCTTAAACATTTATACTGCTACCGTACTTCTACATGTACTAATAGTGTAAGATAAACGACCTGTTCTCCTAGATACTCTTGCTGAGGTAACTTCATCACATTTAACGTTTCCCTGAGAAATGGATAGGTTTTGTTTAAACTGCTCTATTAAGTCCTTAGTCGTGTTTGTAGCTTCGCCACATAGCCCCAACACCCTCAAGTTCTCTAAAACTTTGAGATCTCCGATCTTTCCTAGGATAAACTATCGTAAAGGTCACAAACCACAGGTGTAGGGTAATGACCCTATTTATGGTTGACCTCTGCCATTTTATTGATCTGATTACTGCTAGGGCAGATCCGATTTGTGTTTTGCGCTACATCCAGAACAATACAGGTAAATTAAAGGGGCCGCCCGGCCTTGTACGCCACTTGCGCAATTCTTTTATGTTCCAACCTAGAATGCACTGAATACAGGTCACTACTATAATTGGACCACAGAGTAGGCTGTTTAATTGGATGATGAATGATGCAGCAGGCCCAAAATCAAAGATCGCGTAAGGCTATTTTCGATAGCCCCTTGAACGAGACTTTGCTTGACTATTTGCCATAGCTTACACAAAACGACTGAGGCAAGTCTTCTTCTTCTGCTCCCTAGCGTAGTCCCGCGTAATCGAAGGGTCCGCTAAAAAGGATCAAAGACAAGTAGAAGCATTTCTGTGGAGAAATGATTTTTTTAAGTGGGACCATGCATCCAAAGATCGTGAAGTCTCTCCAATTGGTTCCAATTAAGAAAGAAAAAACCATTATAAACAAAATAATTAAAATGGTTCGTTTCGCTCCTTCCTCAGACGAACCTTATTATTTCGTCAATCCCCGGAGCTCATCAGTGAGTTGGGATTGGCGAAATAAAGACACAGGGGAAAAACCTGGGCCAACATAATAAAACTTTTTCCTTATTGATTATTTCTCTGGGAATTTTCCTGATATTAAGTACCCGTCTGAAATTATGGAGTTACCTCATATTCAACTTAGTGTCCTCCCTCCTACAGTATCATTCCCGTTACGGATTCTCGCTCACTTTACAAAGCGCTGCAGCTGCCGTCTACGTGAAGAGGAGAGAACGACGTTGCCCCAACCATGGGCCTAAAATTGACAGCCGGTGGTAAGAAGACACCTGGAAAAGCTACTGTAACCATGGTCTGCTACGTATAGTGGATGGATTGTATGACATAACTACCTTTTTTTCGAGCCTATTTCCTTCATTTTTGGTTTAAAAAAAAACAGTTCCTCAAAATACACCCATATTTTGCCTCAGTGATCAATTGCTGGATAAAACTGCTTCCGTGAGTTTGCTGAAAGGTTTACTTCGAATTCGAGAAGGTAGAAGCGTTCACATGTACAACGGCTTCCTGGCTTCACGCTACAAATAGGATTCAGAAATATACAGGAGGATAGTAATCCAAATCTCTTCGCTTTCATCGATTCGTTTGGTGTGCGCGCGCACTCGCTTTCATCCAGAGTCGTAGTAACATGTTCATGCCTCCTACAAGAGGTAGGAAGCCGTTGCACATGTGAACGCTTCTACCTTCTCGAACGAGTCTGGTAAAAGTAAATCGATCCTGGACGCTTTCCAGTGCAGGATAATCTTGCACCTTCAGAGAATGCGCGTGATATATTATTTACCCTTGGATATGCCTGCCTCCCCATTCACTAAAGAATATGATCAAGTCGAACCCTCCTCCTCCCTCCTGTCTTCACTGTGTTTATTTCACGTAGCACTTCTTCGAATAAGTATGGGTGTAAAAGGATGAAATAATGCATGTTCTGCGTGGGAATGTGAATGTGTTCCTTCTGTGAATCATTGTTGAACCATACCAATGAACCATTTGTTATCATTTTGATGCGGTTTCCCATCAACAACTTCTAATGTTTTCAGATTCCACGGAGATTATTCACCGTGATTCTTCTTCGCAAGCACGTGCACCTGTGAAGAGCGATTACATTCGACCATGCTACTTTACCAACTGGGCTCAGTACAGGTAAAATGCTTATGACAAAACAGAGCCTTTATAATCTGCCAATAAGCAACGTACATACAAATCAGGGTGAATAACGGTCGAGGAAATCCTCGACCATAGCTCTCTACTGTGCGAGAGTAGTGCCGAGAGTGAACATACGCGCGGAGAGCACAGACGGCTCGCGCATGGCGAGTGTGAATGTCCGCGCGAGAGAGCGTAACTGATCGGGCGAAAATCCTCGACGAGCCGTTGAGGAATCCTCGACCGATATTCACCCTGATACAAATGCAGTCTTTAACAAGCAAATGAATTTATTTGTTCTTCAGAAATGGAAGAGGGAAATACATGCCAGAAGATTACGTCACTGGACTTTGCACCCATATACTCTTCGCATTCGGGTGGATGAACGAAGACTACACTGTCAGGTAATGCACACTTTTTCATGATCTGAAGCAAACTCTAGTGTTTTCAATAATGCACCACAACAACATAACTACCTGATCTAAAAAACTGGGGTTTAAGGACAGTGAAAAGCACAACCAGCAATTAGATCCTCGGAAAGGTGCTGTTCGTCTTCGCCTTCTCGTACGACGTGCTCTCTCACTTACTCCCTCTTCTCGTCGCACGGTGTCTCCCATCGTTCTCTATTGTTCTTTTTGCTTTCTATCTCATTGATGACTTCTTTGGACCTCTTGTTTTATGTTCTAGTGAAATTAACACAAATTTTGAACGCCAGTGTGTCTTTAAGGGTAAGGGTGAGGGCTAATTGTCTACAAATGGGTACGAGAACCAAGCGGTCAGGCTGGGAATGAGAAGCCGTCAAGGGCTCATCCGTGCGGGTGACTTGTGCCAGGTTTTCCAAGCAACACAAAAGCGCTAAGGCAACCGATGTGTGGAACGGAACAAATTTATTCCATCGTAGAATATCACAGTCACTTTGTAAATAGCTCCAAATTTTTAGAGCTTTTGATCCCGCTGATTTGCCAAATGACTGGGCCGGTGAAGGAATGTACAGACGTGTGAATGCTCTCAAACGTAAAGACTCGAATCTGAAGACGCTCCTCTCCATTGGAGGATGGAGCTTCGGCACTCGTTTGTTCAAGGCAAGTATTTGTGGCTGTGCAATTTCTTTGCGATATCAAAAATATTTGAAAGGCTCCGTACTAAGTTCAGTAGACTATAATACACATGGCTTCCGCGGCTCACGGCAAGGAGAAGTTTGGCTTCACTAGTTCTCACCTCTTGTTACATCATTACAGAGCGGTGTCAACAATTCCTAATATTTTGAAATCTGATCGATTACTTTTATCCCTCAGTTTTTTTTTATGGTGACTACGCCGAAACCGAGTTGAGATCTCCGCTTTCTCCTCAACAGAAAGTGGTTTATTGGGTATTCCATCTATAGAGTGTAAGGAGCAAAAAGCGCTTCAATTCACCCACTCTCAACAATTAATCCACTTTCAACACTTAATTATTACACTTTGCTGAGGTCTGGCCAAGTGTTTCTCGTGGAGATTGAAAGTCACTTCAAGCTACCACGTAAGTTCCCAATAACCTATATGAATGGCATCAATTGTTTGTGCGAGGCGAACATGATGCTACGTTCAAACTTAGCGAGAGTTGTGCGCGCGAGAAAACGTGGCGCCGAGCTGTAAACCCAGTGTGCCTCATATTGATGAACGTAGAATTTTCGAGCTACAATTTTCACGTATTCCACTGCATTCACTGTTCTAACCATAATCATTTTCAGGACATGGCTGAGACCCCTGTCCGACGAAAGGTTTTCATTAACTCTGCAATCGCATTTGTTCGTCAATGGGACTTTGATGGAATTGATATCGACTGGGAGTACCCTTCTGGTCCAGCCGATGTCAGAAACTATGCCAGCTTTATCTCCGTGAGTTGCTGCTATGATATTTTGGTTCCCTGTTTTCTTCGTCTTCGAAAAACTGTTAAGGCCAGTCAAGTGTGTCACCGTTTGTCCCTTTATTCGCCAAATTCCTTAAATGAGTTCCAACAGCCTCCGATCGGCTTTGCAGCTATCAGCTCCAGTGGTTCTCCCCACCCCAAAAGAAACCAAGCGATGTACTTTCTCTGCGCGAGGTGTCGTGAATTGTGACCGTCCTGGTCGTTACAAGTTCACCAGCTCTTTATTTGTCACTAGTCTAGGGTTCGTGAGTCATCTCAAAATCGCAAGCATAACGCGTCCAGCCCGACTAATCTCTGGTTCTTGGACAAAAGGAGCAGCGTTCGTGGTCTTCGATCATTGAGAGTTCGGAGCGCCGGATTCCATCTTGCAACTGGGTGCTTGGGATCGCTCCGTGTATCGTTCTATGGACGGTGTGGCAAGATCAGTAGCACAAGCACTTGCTTCCGCGCTAGCCCCTCTACGGAACGAGAGATCGTACTCATTCTAGCGCTTCATGTGTACGATTTTTTGAACCGTTCGTAGGGCTTCACTTGTGTGCAACTGATGGACATTTGGTTTCCAACGGTTTTTTATTGAAACCGTAGTGGAGCTTTTTATAGATAGACCTTTTTGAAGTTTAGGGTAAACTGGTGTGAATCAGAGCTTACTGCCATCAAATGTTTATAACTGGAGTACACACAATGGTGAACTTCTGCGAACCCTCAAACCTTCTGCGAATGGTTCATCATGGCGCAGAACTTTGCCCGCGAAGTTCTGGATGTTCGTGAGCGGGGGAGATGGGACCTTTGAAACGGCAAAATTTGCAACGTTCTCCCAATTTTCACGGAAATTTCCATTTTCTCATCCATCTACTTCACGTCTCTCCAAAAATTATTCTCCTCAGATACGATCCCCTCCCACAAATCACAAAATACGACCTTCTCGAAGGAGAACTCCCAACGATCGTTGACCTTGGTACAATGTCCATCCTGCATGACAGGTGTACGACCTTCTCTGTCGTCCGCAAACCACTGTGTGGGAAGAATGCTACTCCATCCCATCTTGGACGGAAACCTAACGGACCGAGCGCTTGCAGCTCTCAAAAAGGGATGGGATGGGTTGACCAGCAGTGACATCTATTTGTTCATTATTCAGGAGCTCAGACAGGCATGTGAGGCGGAGGCGACGTCGTCTCAGAAACCGCGTCTGCTCGTTACTGCTGCAGTGTCCGCTGGAGAAAGCACAATTGATGCTGGATATGATGTGCCAGCCATTGCCGAGTTCGTTACAACCAGCATTCAGTTATATTCAATGTATTCGACAGAGTGATCGTGAAACGTCGTTTTTAGACACCTTGACTTCATTCTTCTCATGAACTACGATTTCCACGGAGCGTGGAGTACCGAAACTGGCTTCAATTCGCCTCTCTATGCGAGAGAGGACATGAGGGAATCGGAGAAAGTGTGGAATGTCGTAAGTTCCTCTTTTGTTCGACTAACTTTAGTGTTTCTCATAGAGACTGTCAAATGCAGTGACTACGATTGGTTGAGGGCGGTGCAGTTTTGAAAACGTTCTCGCGATTGGTGGACTAGCCCCTCAGCGCGCGTTGGGATCGCCTCCTACGCCCTTCCACCAATGAGGCTCAATGGACGTCATGAAAATTGCACCACCCTCCAGCCATCGCGACCGCTCCCTTAAAAAATCTTTTGTTACAGGATTGGTCAGCTAACCACTGGCATGAAAAAGGCATGGCCAAGGAGAAGATAATTATCGGTATACCAACATATGGACGAGGTAAGCCTAAATTATTCTTTCATTGCTGAATGATAGACTGGCGAATGCTATATATACCATTATACAGGATGGACTCTCAAGGATAAGTCTAACATTACCGTTGGAGCGGAAGGGTCACCTGCAAAAATCACACCTTATACTCAGGAAGCAGGAGTTGCCTCATTCTACGAGGTTTGTCAAATGAGTGAATGCTACAGAAACGGATAAATTACGTGTATTCTTAGCTTTTCATAACTGTTCTTTCAAGATGACTTCAAGCTATGACGCTAATTTAATTGTTGCCATTGCATGAAAGATTCTTCGGGTAATGAGGTTGCAAAGGCAGAAAGTGAGCTTCCAAAGTCACATTCCGCTCATAAATTATCATTTTTTTAAAGGCAGTGAACATGATGACTTGAGGGCGGAGCGATTACCATGCCGTCATGGGTGTGATTGGTGGAGGGAAGCTGGTAGGTGAACCCATCCACACCCTCAGCGCACTGAGGAGCCTGGTCTACCAATTGTGACGCCAAACCGCTTCATTCTCCAGCCACTCGTGTTTACTGCCGTTAAAGGCAGTGATTACGATAGGTTCAAGAAGGGTTTATAGGAGACTGTGGTGCTCAATGGTACGCCAGTGGCGAAAAAGCGGAGAAATCCGTCAAGAAAACGCAAAACGGGACCCCTTTTTTGGCCGTTGGTTTTCACTCATGAACAGGTAACAGCTCAGAAAGCGGACGTATGAACGAGTTCAGCGCAACGCGTTTGGTTGGCAACATGTTGGCGGATCGCTTTTGGGGGCGGAGTGCTTTCGAAGTCCTGCTCAGCAACCAGCGCACCTTTCGTCGTGAAAGCGCCTCGCTTCCTTGGCAGCCAAGTAACTGCTTCGTGTGGTGCATATGCTTCCCCTTCCCCTCTTCACCGTAATCGCTGCCTTTAAAAGCACAGCACGATACTCAGTAAACTATCAGAATTAGGAACCTCATGTCACATTTTTTCAAGTCTGTGAATGAAAGCCCTCACACTTGTTTTTGAAACCTCTTCTAATTTAGTTCTGCGAAATGCTGGCCACAGGAGCCACCCGTTACTGGAGCGCCGAGCAGCAAGTACCATACCTCGTGCAGGGCGACCAATGGTGGAGTTATGACGACGAAGAGTCTATAGCCAACAAGGTTTGTTAGGCTTCTCAAATAAAGAAGCTAAGGGGCTTCTAATACAAGCTCTCACATGTGATCGTCGAATTTTCTAGATGGCATGGATCAAGCGCAACAAGTATGGTGGAGCCTTTGTTTGGACCCTAGATTTTGACGACTTCAACGCTAAATGCTCCAACAGTGACGGCCAACTTTATCCACTCATCAGCATCATCGCCAAGGAACTTGGAGGTGTCACGATACCAAAGGTAAGGACCTGTTTCAGGTGGGAGTGCATGGATGAATGATGACAAAATGGGAACACATTATCTGCCTTATTGGAACTTAATATTCCATAGCTTCATTATTATTTATTATTTTATTTCCATACACTGTTGTACTGTAGCAGTACGCTGCGTGTGCAGGCTCTGAACTGAAAGATATATTGTATTCTAGAAGAACGGCCCTCCAGCTGCATCATCATCAACAACAACCACCAGCACCGCTCGGCCATCAACAGCACAACCAACAGCGGCACCATCAAAACCGCCTACAACTACCACAACATCTCGGCCATCTTCGAATTTCTGCGACGAGATGCCGGATGGTTTCCATGAGTCGGAAAACGACTGCTCGAACTTTTTCCTATGTCTTCAAGGTATGTAGTGTGAGCGTTAAGACCAAACTAAATTATTTGGTTCAGTTTGCTATCGAAGAGCGAGTGCACGCTCCGTCAAGACTGGATGGGAAATGCATTAAAAGTTTCCATTTTTTAAGAAACCCATAAAAGACAGTTTCGGAATCGAGAGGCTGAATGGGAGACGGAGAAAACACATCTAATGTCGGTGATTTAAACTCCAAGCATATGGTACAGCTTCAATTTGGGAAGCAGTGGCACCATGGCTGTGGCAGAATCAGCCATCCCTTGGTATTTTCCGATCAAGTAGGGCCATATAGCGTCTATAGTTTTTGTACAGGGGTCTTGTAAGAGCTTCTCAGGGCAGTGGTGACAGAAGAAGTATGCTGAAGTATGGTCCTAGCTGTGTGGTATCTGCTGCTTTGAAAGCTACTTAAACCCCTCCACCCCTCCACTACGCCAAATATGAAGACATTTCGAGGGCAGAGATATTGCGTGTCATGTGGTAGCAGGTTCAACGACGCTTTCGACACTATCGACCGTTAAGGGGTTGTATGGGAGGACCTTATTCACACGATCCTTCCAACGATCCTTAGCCTGGGTTGTGGAAATTTCGGAATTGCACGACGCGACGGTTGACCCTGAATGGGATCAACGGAGTTCAACCCGTTATTTCTGAATTATAATCCTATGAATCTTCCTGGGAGATTGCCCACCATACTGCAACTCATCAGCGGTAGTTCTCCTTCTGAGCAACCCTACAATGCGTATTTATCATGAAATGAATCCCCGAAAGGGTGATAGGGGCAGGTGGAAGTGGCGTCACATGCGTCACTTTAGTTCGGAGGATTTAAGGTCTTCTGGGTCGCACGCTGTCCAGGTCGACCAACCACCCCTACGGGGTCGATGGGCTGCTACAGAGCTTCCATACTACCGAAACTATTCTGACTTTACATTGGCTGGCCCCATGAGCAGGGTCAACCGTCCGTTGGACAAAGTCCAACGCGACGACGAGAGTAATGCCGAGAGTGAACGTACGCACGGAGACACAGACGGCTCGCGGGTGGCGAGAGTGAATGCCGGCGCGGAGAGCGGTGAACATCGGTCCAACGTCGCTCCAATATCGGTCCAACGTAACGGTTGACCCTACCCATGAGTCTTGGGTTAGCGAATGGATTTGAACGCCACTGCGGTTCTGAATGAGAGTAGAATGCGTGGCGTAAAAGGTAACTGGTCAACGCAAAGTGTTTCTAATTTAATTTCACCATCTAAAAAAAGGGCCGTTGAAGTATGTTTACCACAGCAAAGTATTTAAGTTCAATTTCAGGCGCTAGCTACAACATGACTTGCCCAGGTGGAACTCATTTCTCATCTTCGAAAGGATATTGTGTGCGTGCTGCTGACTCGAGCTGTTCTCGATCGACTACCCCGAGTGGCTTTTCACCCACAACAACAACAAGCCCTAGAAATGGTAGGTTGTGACAGACACAAACATGTACTCGTCTATTTGTATAACAGTGATAAATAAACCATTTCTATCCCTAAGAAAGTTCAAATAGGAAATTCTCACTTTTCCCAGTAGTTTGTTCGTGGGTTTATTCCCACCCTGCTCATCATTCACTCATCGTGAATAAGAAAGCTGTGATTGGACCCTCACGTAATAGCGGTGCTGTTAGTTTACAAATTTACCAATAAATTTTTGTAGAACTTCTTTCGCAATTTACATGACTATAGTGTACTTTATCAAGACTCGAAGGGAGTGCTTACGACAAAGTTTTTAAGTACAAACGCCTCCCCCGGAATAAGACTAACGGCCCCGCAATTTGAAAGGTGATGCAACAATAACAGCTTGGAGCACGTAAAAGGAAAACGCACGAATACTTCTGTGTCTGGGCATTGCTCCTCGCTGTGCTCTCTCGTCTCCGGCTATAGTGATCTCAGATCAGCGGCCACTATCCTATCGTCCTTTCAGCCTCTTAGTGAACCTTTGGGAGATAGAAGGCCCCCATTTTCAATGCTTTCAACGGTTTCTTTGCCTTTTTTCTCCGCTGGTGATCTGAATTTTATGTTCAGTTTCACATTTAGCCGAGTAACCACATCAGCTTGATCATGGACTGTGCATTTAAGTAATTTCTGTCCTCCGGCTCTTTTTGCAACACGTTCTGTACACCACTCTGTAGATCTGTGGAGGGAAAATTCGATCATGGCAGAAGAGTTGGCTCTCAATTTTTTTCATTATTTTTGCTTTTCAGCCTGATTCCACGTAAATCTTTTTCTCTTCAGTTTATGCAAATTTTTGTTGGAGTCGGATTCTTTTGAGCACAATAAAGCAAATACATCTATGATTTCAGAGTTCAAATGTGGCGCGGACGGCTTCTATGCTGACTTCAACAGTTGCCAGAAGTTTATTCGCTGTGTCAATGGAAACCCCTATGGGTTTGACTGCCCAAAGGGTATGCACCACAATTTTTTTTTTGCAAAAATCTAAAGAATTGAGACAAAATAGATAACTTTGATTCTAGACTTTAGAGATGCTTTAATCATTTTCATGTTCAGGTCTATCTTTCCATGCTGATTCCCTCATGTGTGATCACCCGGATCCGTCAAAATGTGCTGGATTCTACTAAAAACCGTGCTCCCGATTACTGTACACAGTTCTCCTAAAATGCCACTGCTTTTAGTGACCAGCAATGTCAAATCACTCGCGCTTGTCTTTCCATTGATTTCACTTTGTATTCTGTGTAGAATTAGTATTATGTTTTCCATTACTGGTTTGTATATCGCAGTATTAAATAAAGTAATCTCAAAGCAAATTCTTCAAATGAAATATAGTACGTGAAATGAGATATTGCCTATTAATCTGAGATAACTGAGCAGTACAAATCTCACTAAGACCCTACCTAGCTTCGAACTCAACTGAGCTGAACAACCCGTATTCCATTGAGCACTGAACGTCCACCGTCAACCGTCGCGCCGATTTCGAAAATTTTTACGGTCCCTAGAGGTGCCCCAATACGACCCCCTTCGGCGATCGATTCAGTGTCAGTAAATCTGCCTTCTATTGACTAACTAATAACTCCGGCCCACCCCCTAGCCCCTCTGAAACTATAAAACTGCTTTCGCGCGAAGGGGAGGGGAGTTTCTTCAAACAGCAAATCCTTCTCATCTTTACAAGTTTCAATCCTCCCACTATCATGACCACTGCCCTAGAACTCCCGAATAGAACCCGTTAAGAAGCCCTTTCCTGGGGTAAATGCCAACGGGTGGTTGACCTTGTACAGCTCAGGGGAAAGGGAGTGGCTGTGCTTCCTGTGAATGCGAGAAAAGTTTGATTCATGAAAAGGAAATAATCTAGAAATACTAGCTAAATCTCAAGTACGCAGTAAGTGCCCAAAACAAGTGAAGAGCGGCTTGAAAAGTTAATACAACACCAATAACTTGGGCAATAAGAACAAAGGCATGAAATGGTGAGCTGACTGAAATCGCGAGCTCTCGCAAAATCTTGTGAATGAATTGTCGTAAACTCTCGTAAAGTTCTTTGCCGGGCATCACTTCCGAGAACTGTTGAGAAACCTCCTGAAGAAATGATCGATAATCTGATTCTCATGGGTCTATGCCACATGCTCATGGGAAAACAAGGGACAGATAAATGTAAACTTACGTGTGCCGTCTTTTTACCCGTTTCCGGCAGATACAAGTAGTTAATAGCTACGTACAGAATATTAATAGTAATAAATGGCAATAGTACTAACGCCGTACCAACTCTATTTACGGCGGTCAGAAGTACAGCGGTGAGAATACCACCAAACACATTCTGGAATGGTGATTGCTTTTTCAGCCATTGGACTAAAATGACGAGAAAAAACAATTCACAATGGAGTCGTGAGAACACCATGTTGTTATATCCTGGCAATTTTTATTGCTTTGCATTTACTGGTAACAAAAACTAGGGGCAATACTGAGGCCCATCGTGCGGCAAGAAGGCAGAATCAGCGGACGAGTTGCAGTGCGTGCTGTGCGATGTAGGACGGGCAATGGTACATTCCATTTTAATTGACGTCACTAAGCCGCGCTGCGACACGTCCGCTGGGTCTACGCTTTTGCCGCACAACGACCTTCTGTCGGGTACACCAAACTTTAAGATAAGTGTAAATTTAAGCAGTGACGCTCTCTCAAAAAATGAAGCTAGTGCGAAACGGAAAAGATAATTGTAGGTGGTGTATCGCTTCAAGAAACTAGGCTTAAGGGCTAAGGATACATGTAAAAGGCAACATTTAATATTAGGTTGTCTCATAAATAGTGTCGCTTTTTTTCAACCAAAAAATTTTCATCTAAATCCCATGCTTTTACATCGAGTCATATACCATTCGAAAGAGAATTGTCTGCTCTACAATGCTGTGTTCTTCTTCCACCTATGTTCCAGGTTTTCAAATTTTAGGCCTGCGAAATGGGAGGTCCAGCCGACAAAAATTGACCAAACCGACAACTATCTCTAACTTTATCTTCCCTTGGAGAAATCAATCAATGACTGTACCCTCTACTTATGCATGACCTCTTCTAAACATTACACTATTAGGTTTCCCAACAAGTCGCGTCATTCCATTTCCAGACCTGGTTTTTCAACCAGAACTCGACGGTCGAGCACCATTACCTGAGATCGAGGTCGAAAATTTTTTTAGCCGAGACATTGAAAAACTAGAATTTAAAGAACAAGTCATGACTAAGTTAGGAATGTACGCCTGGTTGATTTTCTCATCTTCTCAAGGATAATTTTTTTCAAAGAAATGCGGTCACTTTCGTGGACAAAGCACCTTACTCCTAAACCTAAAATTCGAGCTAATTCCTAACAAACATCAAAACAAAACAAATGAGCGAATAGAGCAGAAGAAGTGCTCACAAAAGATACACCAGTTGATATAAAACAATAGCGTTTCAGAGGAAGAATTTCAATTTGAAAATTGCCATGGCTTATCGGTCGGCCAATTCGAAAAGAAACAGGGCAAACCTTTTCGGCAACCTAAGGGTGGAATGTTTAGAAGAGGTCATGAGTAAGTAGAGGGTACATCATTGATTGATTTCTCCCAGGGAAAATAAAGTTAGAGCTAGTTGTCGGTTTGGTCAATTTTTGTCGGCTGGACCTCCCATTTCGCAGGCCTAAAATTTGAAAACCTGGAACATAGGTGGAAGAAGAACATACATCTTGTAGAGCAGACAATTCTCTTTCGAATGGTATATGACTCGATGTAAAAGCATGGGGATTTAGATGAAAATTTTTTGGTTGAAAAAAAGCGACACTATTTATGAGACAACCTAATACATGAGCGATGGACAACCCAAAAATTAGTTGGGTAGGCTACTAAGAAAAGGATGGGTGGGCCAACTGGGATCTCCCAAAGGACGGTTGACCCTCGTCGACTCTCGTGTACGGCTCAATTAGCGAAACAGTTATGTACTAGCTAAGTTTTCGTTCGCATGAGCATTTTAGAGCTTTTCTATATCGTCAACATCGACCCGAGCAGAAGTGGTATGTGGCGCTTCCTACCACGCGCATGGTCCAGGGAACAACTCCTGGTTGTTACGGGCCATCCAAGCTTTTCATCGATTCGCCTTTGGTCAAGTAGTACCAGACTGGTCAGGGGAAAAAGCACAGAGCTTCAATATACGCAAGCCATTGTGCACGCCAAATCGCCTTTCAAGTACCAATACGATTTTTTACGAAACTATAATAGAGCATGTAGCGCATCCCAGGAAGGGGTACTTAAGCGCTGAATGCTGTCTCTTCTATATCCTTTCGAGTCGAAAGGACACATCTACAGACTAATCATCTGACAATGGTGCTGTACTACCAATATGATCACAGCGGCAGGGAGAAGTCAAGAAAGAACGTTTTACAACTATAGTATTTATAATTGGATGGGCAGAACATTTGAAAAAAAGTCACCTGAGCAATACCAACAATGGCAGTGCCAAGTATTTTATCATTCGGGAGAAATAATTCAGGAACAATTGTATAGGCACTTTCTCCGCACACAGCAGCGGCTGTAAGATCCATGGAAGCTAGTATGGCCAGTGTCGCCCCTAAGGGTAGTCCAAGTGAAACTGAAAAAAATGCCTAATAAAAGGCCAGGAAATGCTCTGTTATTAGGGTACGGAATAAAAGGAATTGAGAAATTTACCACTCCCAAAGTTGATAGCGAGTACTGCAAATATACCAATAATAACACTCACGATAGTTGGAACCAACAACAAAAATCGTCTACTAAAGCTTTCGAAGAATCTGAAACAACGAAACGTTTTCTTTCGGCTTCTATCTTTTTACAAATTTGTTTTGGCAGAGTACAAATTAACTGTTCCTGATGTGCTGTGCTGATCCCTTTAGCGTATTATACTTACTCCGTAGAGAACAGTAGGACACGACTGCTGCATAAGAGCGGGGGGGGGGGGGGGCTTGC